AATATTTCCACTACTCTAGTACTGCAGCACTCTTTTCATGCTTCCTGCACAGAGCTTATGAAACTGCATTGCAAATTGTCTTTTTTTTCCTCTCTCTTTTTTTTGAGACATGGTCTCGCTCTGTTGCCCAGGTCGGGGTGCAGTGGTGCAATCACGATTGACTGCAGCCTCAACCTCCCAGCCTCAAGTTTTCCTCCCACCCCAGCCTCCTGAGTGGCTGGGACCACAAGTATGTGCCACCACCCAGTTAAATGTTTTGTGTTTTTATAGAGACACGGGGGTCTCACTGTGTTGGCCAGGCTAGTATCAAACTCCCGACTTCAGGTGATCGACCCACCTTGGCCTCCCAAAGTGCTAGGATTACAGGCATGAGCCACTGCGCCCGGCTGCACATTGTCTTCTGTGTGACATCCTCTCAACCTGGACCACGACTTCTTAAGGGCAGGGGCTGAGTCTCCCTCTTCAATGCTGAACCAATTGCCTTGACATTCATGAAAGCCCGTGTTGCCTAACTTGGTTACTAACTAAGCTTGTCAGACTTAGAGCCAGCTGACTTGTGACTGTTCCTAAAAGTCAAATCCACTCTCATTGACCATTTTCAAAACCACTTACCACAAGGTCTGCAAAAAATAAATATGGTTGTCTGTAAGATGTTCTAAATATTATTGAAGTAAGTAAATGGCAACCCACAGTAACTACTTTGCAGGGAGCAGCATTTTTTTTTTTTTTTTTAGTTATATTATTAATCTACCCCTTGCCTTGTTCCAGAAAGAATTTAAAGTAGTGGTTTAAGAATCAATTGCATGATGTAGACCAGGCACAGTGGCTCATGCCTGTAATCCCAGCACTTTGGGAGGCAGAGGCGGGTGGATCATTTGAGGCCAGGAGTTTGAGATCAGCCTGGCCAAATGGCGAAACCCTGTCTCTACTAAAAATACAAAAATTAGCTGGATGTGGTGGTACACACCTGTAATTCAGCTACTCAGGAGACCGAGGCAGGAGAATAGCTGAACTCAGGAGGCGGAGGTTGTGGTGAGCCGAGATGATGCCACTGCACTCCAGCCTCAGTGACATAGTAAGACTCTGTCTAAAAAAAAACAAAAACGGATCAGTTGCATGATGTTAGTGACCTCTCAATAACTCAGCCCATAGACCGCCCATGTGTATTTAGATAATTCGCTATGGTAACTTTGTGGCGGGTGGATGTTGGCACTCTGGATCATCAGTGAGTTTGGCCTGTTACTTCCTATGGAAATCCCAGCTTTCACTCCAGGTCCAGTGTGACCAGGGATTCCCCATTTCAGGGCGTACAAATAGTGTAAGACCTAATAACTAGACATGAATCCCAAATCATATGCATATGGCATGTGTGCCTTCCTGTACTCGACTCACCTTTAATGAACTGGCTCCAATTGAAGGCTTTAGAAACCTCTTGTGTAAACCATTCCTGCTACAGCCTACAATATGCTAAGTGTTGGTGTGCACCAATTTCTCAGTGCCTTTGCAGGTCTGTGTGCTAGCAGCAAGAGATGAGGGCTGAACTCACCCTGAGTTATTTTGATACTACTCCTTTCAGTGGTTGGGTGGGACCCTTTTGAGAAAACAAGAGGAAATAAACATCTATTTGGCGTATTGCATGCTATTTCAGAATCTGGTAACTAGTATATAATTATATGCCATCTCAGAATTTGGCTCTATTGCTTCAAGGATTTTCATGCTGTCTAGCTTTTTTTTTTTTTTTTCAATCAAATATGTTTATGTAACTGGAGGCAGAATTTAGCCATTAATGTCCACTGGAAAACTGAAGGCAAAGATTACACTTAGCATTTCAGAATGATTTCTGATAATCTATTAAATGTGTTCAAATTGGTTTCATTTCATGTCACTTATTCACCTTGATTCTTTCAAGTACAAATCAAACAACTAAATGTCTCAATATACATGTGTTCAAGGACATGATAGGTGACTTCATAGCAGGTGGCGAGGATTTGGAGTTGTCCACTCAGGGAGCTGGAATAGGGATAAGTCAACTTTTCTTCCCATAGGGACAGAGGTGGGGGATTCTCCTCCTGGCTCACCTTTGAGGTGTGTGTTGCTTTACTCTTCACAGCCAAAACAGGAAAAAAAACAAAAAAAAAAACTAGCTGGAGGGGAATACCATCTCAAACTGTTTTTATGCCTTTGATTTCTTGACCTCTTAAAATTAATGAACTTTAATAATGTCACCGAGGACAATTAAAACGCCAGACTCTGGGATATACAAGTCAGATCACAGGAACAACAACAAAAAGGAACCAACTGAAGGAAGTGGCAGCTCCCACTTCTCAAAGTGCGTCCTGAGATAGAGGAACAGCTGCCATTCTGGCCAGAGACGTAAAGTCGGGTCGTGGTTCTGATGGCTTTATACCAGAATTATGAGGCTGGGAAGTGTTCCTGGGGCACATGGCTTCTGAAGTCACATAATGACTAGAGTGATCAGATTGATAATGAAAGAAACAAAAGGAACTTTGAGCACAACTGTGTACTCAGAGAGCTGTAATGCCGAAGAGAAGCAGTTTCATTGTGACCCTGAATGACTGAGAGCAGGAGCTGCTCATTTGGCTGGCTGGAGTTTAGGAAACAGATCTCTACTTACAGGGCAGAAAAACAAGGATGAACCTCAGGACTAGACAGAAAGATTCTCTCTTCTTCTGTGACCAACATTAGAGTCATATACTTTGGCAAAGGCTGACTTTAGAAACAGTAATAGAAGTAAACCAGGAAATGGGATTGAGAACAGCAATTAAAAGGCTGTGGCAGCTGCTGGTGGTGATGGGAGTGGCAGTGGTGGTGGGAGTGATGGGAGTGGCAGTGATAATGGTGGGGAGGTGAGATGGGTGGTGGGGGTTGGGGAGTGATGTGGGGATGTTGGTGGTGGTGATGGTGGTGGTGGTGGTGATGTTTGTGGTGGTGGTGGTGATGTTTGTGGTGGTGGTGGTGATGGAGATGTGATGGAAATAGTAGTGATGTGATGGTGGTGGTGGTGAT